GCGTCAACGCACTTTCCTGACTCGGAGATTCTTCGGAATCACTCAAATGCAGTCATCGAACCGAGGGCATCCTGGCCCAGGAGGGATGACTGGGCTGTTTTCTCTTCCAGGCCCTTCAAATCTCCAGGTGATGACGGGATATACCCTGCATTTTTGCAGAGGGGTTTCCAACATATCGCCAGAGCACTGTTGGAAATTTTTCGTGCCAGCTATGCGTGGGGTTACATCCCTCAGGCATGGAGGGTGGCTAAAGTGACGTATATTCCGAAGGTGGGTAAGCGACCAAGCAATCACCCAAGGTCTTTCCGCCCAATCAGCCTTACTTCTTTTCTATTGAAAGCAATGGAAAAAGTGATTGATAGATTTATACGGGACGGTGCACTGGGAAGCAATCCCTTGCATGAATCTCAGTACGCCTATCAGTCGGGAAGGTCTACTGTACTCGCTCTGCAGAGTCTGGTGGGGGTCCTTGAAAACTCGCTGGAAGTGCTGGAGGTGGCAGTTGGCTGCTTCCTTGATATAGAGGGAGCTTTTGACAACACCCCATATCATGTCATCTGTGAGTCGTTGCACAAACGAGGGATTGATGCGACGACTAGCAGATGGGTTAATCGGATGCTACAGCATAGGATTATTAAGTCCACCATAGCTGACGATATACTCTTCATCTCCGCTGCAAAAGGATGTCCGCAGTGGATGGTCCATTGTAGTGGATGATCTAATCTCTGCTCTCAGGGGCTCCGGGGCGCGTGTCTGGGGATACGCTGACGATGTGGCCTTCGTCGTGCGGGGAAAATTTGAGGGCACTATTTCTGATCTTCTACAGCAGAATTTACGTGTTGTGGAAAGATGGTGCAAAGGCGTTGAGTAAAGCTGGAAAAGCTACAGAGGCTGGCCTGCCTGGGAGTGACCGGGGCGATGCGGACGGCTCCCACCGCTGCATTGGAGGTGATGATCGGATTGCCGCCACTGCACCTCCATATATTGAAGGAAGCTCGGCTTCTCTCTGGCGAGGACGGGGCAGGGCTAAAGTTGGCAGACAGAACTCGCAGAGACTCCGATTCTAAGAATAACCATGTCGGATACCTGTCTGCCGCGGTACAACTTCGACCACAGGTACAGGGTTCTGTTTCCCGATCGATGGACGTGGGATCGGGGTGGTCCGGTACTTAGGTCGGGTTCGAGCGTGTGGTATGCGGACGGGTCCAAAACGGAGTCGGGTGTGGGTTATACGGTGTCCGCCCGGACACGCGTGTATATGCAACCCTTGACCCGTATTGCACAGTGTTCCAGGCCGAAATACATGCAATAGAGATCTGTCTGAGAATCAATTTGGAAAGGGGGTATAAAAACCGCACCATCTATGTGTTCTCGGACAGCAGGGCTGCACTGCTGGCGCTCCGTTCAGGTCAGGTTACATTCAAGCTGGTCTGGAGCTGCCTTGCTGCACTTATGGAATTGGCATCGGAGAACAAAGTGATGCTCATTTGGGTGCCGGGCCATAGTGGCCATGGGGGCAACGAAGTTGCCGATGAGTTGGCGCGGAGGGGATCTGGGGCTGCCTTTCTGCGGTCTGCCTTCTTCCGCCGTGGGGGCCAGGCTTGCCTGCCTACTCGCGGCGGAATGCGGCCATCACTGGCGGGTGGCGATGAGACCGCCGTGCACATTCTCTGCGACTGTCCGGCACTGGCTGTTCGGCGCCGCAATTGTCTTGGACATGGGTCCCTAAGTGTTCGGGAACTATTGTCCAACTCCCTTAGGGATATCTCCGGCTTTGTGATTGGGACGGGGATATTATAGACGGGAGAGTAGGATGGCTACAATAAGTCAAAAATGGTTGCGGTGGCTTGGGGGGATGTTCCTGTCCCACTCGGTTCCCTTAGAATCTACAATCTACAATCTATATTCCAATTTCTAGTTTTCTTCCATACATAATAAGAATTCTTTAAGAACATTACTCTTATGATTGCAGTCTTGTAGAACACGAAAAGACCCTAATGAGATCTTTATAAAAACAAAAAAGCGCAATTACTAGAGTTATTAATTCTTGTAATTAAAGTTAGGCTCCCATTAAAAGAGTTGTTAAAGCATATAACTCTCATACGAGTTTTGGTATACGAAAACTCTCACAAGCCATTTATAATAGTGTTAGAAAGAGAAAGCAATACTTGTAGTAATGTCTTTATATCTAACAAGTCCTAATGCTCAGAGAGAAACTTGAAAGCACGACCTTATTTTATATGGGTTTTTTTGAATCGAAGTGGTAATTTTTTGAGAAGAAATATTAAAATAAATTTATCCTTATTATAAAGCAGGTAAAATTTAGAAAATATATTTGAAAAATCAAAAAAAAAAATTAATATTTTCATTGATAATTATTTTAAAATTATAAAAAAAGGCGGAAAAACAACAAGCACATCCTTCGCCTTCAACATTTTATATGTTACTGAAAGCATTTCATTATTTTTAAGTGAACAGCTTTTTTTTTCTCATAGGGTAAGTTAACTCAAGATATGGGGAGTAACTGTGGTGTCAAGTTGAAAATATAATTAATGAAAGATAATTCTTAAATATTGATACAAATACATAGTAAAGAAAAAATTTGAAGAGGGAATTAGGAAATAATATCTAAAATACAATCAAATATTATTTGTTAAATACAAATTTTATATAAACTTCAAAATTTTACTTCTATTTTTATTTGGAAAAATATTAAAAACTTTTTTAATATTTTTATTTTTTATTTTTGTTAAAATTTAAAATGTTTGGAAAAAACAATCATATATTTTTATGACCGGATTTGAATATTTTTTTATTTTTGAAATAAATGGTATTTTACCAAATGACTCAAAAATTCCGACTCTAAAATAACAGGTATTTTAAAATTTTTGTTCTTTATGTAATATTCTTTCCGTTTAGAATTAAGATAGGCCATACATACACATGCAGGAACATTTTATAAATAGATTGCTCTTGTTTACCTGCTAATAAAATATGAAAAAAGAGAACTCAAAATTTTTGAAGCACTCAATATAACATGTTTGAAATAGTTTTAAAATAATTATTTAAAAAAAAACTTATTGGAAGTAGGTACATACATATTTATTTTTAATTTATTATTATTTGAAACAATTTTATAAGTAACATATAAATAACCGAAATGAGATAATTCAAATTGTTGAAATGTGTCAACCTATATTACTTTTACTAACATTTTTGTTAGCCGACATTACTCAACTTACCTTATTGGGAAATACAAAATGTGCATGAAAAATCATACATCCTTCCTCATTAACATTTGAAACCATACTGAAATATAAATTTAAAATTTTTTATCATTTTTTCTTTCCTCCTACCTTTCTTTCTTTTTCGTGCAATTAAATTTAAATGGGAAGCTTCTTAAAAAATGTGTATATTATCCTGAGATTTTTTAAAATATTAAACTCTTTTTTACTTAAAAAAAGAAAAAAATAATAAAACATATGACACGATCAGTGGCATTTAAAGAAAAATCCAGCAACGAAGCCAAAAATTCGTAATATTTCGTAAAAAAAAATTGAGTATTGGAACTTGTTAGATATAAAGACATTACTTGTAGAATAAATATATCGGCCTTACATCGAACTTTATAACAAATATATCTGTTCCGCTTTTAATAATTATTTTAATTAAATATTTGTATTCAAAAACTTAATATCATAAAATTATAAATATGGGAAATGAAAATAATTTTTTTGCCATGATTATAAATCAAAAAGTTGCTGGCATTAAAATTTTATTGATAAAAGTTGAAAACTTCGAAAAAAAGCAACGTCAACAAAATGTAATTAAAATTTAAAAAAATTTTATACATATTTTTAACTCTATAATACCTTTTTTTCTTTTTTTTTCATATAAATTTTAAAATTTAAGAATTGTTAAGCAAAAAATGTGCATAAATTCCAACTAAAGCTTTAACATATTATATTCAAATGAAACTATAAGTTTGCATTTCATTAACTTTAATTTAATAATTTCTATACAATAAATATTTTTCGGACTTCTTTCCAAAAAAGAATTCTGTCTCATTCAGGGTTGAAATTTAGATAAGGACAATACTAAAATGGCCGTGCCTAACAACTAGACTTATAAAGAAATTCTTTTAAGAACAAAATTCTATAAGAATTGACATCTTATAAAAAATACTTTATGAGAATTAAAATTTTTTACGGCTGGCTGAAAGTACATAGTTTTGCTGAGAGTAGCAGAATTTTTAACACTACAAGTGCTAAGTCTTATTATAAGAACTAGAGTTGCATAAAAACAAAAAAAGAAAATAAAATTATGAGAGTATTGGGGTGTGGTATTAGAGTTTTAGGAGAGTTTTGGTCAATTTTTTAGGGTATTACTCTTGGAAATTGTTACTTGGCTTACCATGTCATCTACCGTTATCCGAGGCCGCGATTCAGTTTCTTGAGTCATTTATGTCTCAATTACCAGGTAAATTGCTGTAAATTTACATATATCTTTATGTTTTGTCGTTTTACATTTATCTGTTACAATTATCTAGCAAAGACTCTAAGGGCTAAAATTAATTTGAATTAATATTGAATGATCGATTATCAAAACTCGATAAGGGTTCTAGGCATTTTTGGAATGCTGTCTGTTTAATAAAAAGGAAGAGTACGTCTATATCATACATAAGTATAAAGTTGTAAAGATATACATATAACATCTAAACAAAATACTGATTTGTTTGCTGATTCTTTTGTGAAAAACCATAATGTGTTTGGGTGATAATACCAAAAAAAAAATTGGTGTCTGAAAGTAGATGGAATTTCGTCCTGACAACAGTTATTGTATATAAACTTGAGGTATTATGGGAATCTTCCGACGTTTGAGCGAGCGCAAGGCTTCTGGTCATGACGGTATTGCGAATGGATATATTAAACCACTTTCAAATTTAGGTTTAGATTTCGTAACATTGATTGTAAACTTATGCCTAAAACTCTGTTATTTACCTGGTGAATGGAAAAAAGTTGCGGTTGGACTACGATTACATTAGATGCTATTCCCATTGCTGTATCACCGGCACCCCTTGTGTAAAGCCCGTACAATATAGGATTCAGAATACAGCCTTGAGGCTTATCAGCCTTAATTTCCCTGAGCATGGAATACTCCCCGTCCTGCTTGGTTCGAAAAAGTTTGTCACATAAATATGATTCAAGTAACTGCATGAATTGCAATGGTGTTAATTTATTTAGTTTAAATAATAAACCGTCGGACCAAACTTTATCGAACGCCTGTGCCACGTCCAGAGATGTCGAATATATTTGCCTTTCTTATTTATTATTATTCTTATATTGTCGAAGACCAAACTAATGGTTTGGAATCAATTTCTTATTTTCTATTATCGGCATCAACCTTCTTAACCTTCATAATTTTTTTCAAAAATGTTAAAGCAATTCTCGACAATTATGTTTTTATCTCAGCAGTATTGGGATTAAAACCTGGGGTTTTATTCAAGTTTAGTGATTTCATAAAAATTTCTTTTTGTGTCAGTAGAGCTATAGTGTTTTCATTCAATAAAAATTTCATCGTTTACCAAACTTTTATTTCATTTGGTTGAAAAATTTTCTAAATTGTCAGCAAAGAATTTCGCTTTATATTTATTGTATTTTGATTATGATTCGTCTGCTTTTTCCATTGGGTGTTTCGGCTTCACCTGCACCTAAAATGAGATAAAAAAAAACACAAAGAAATATACCTTTACAAAATTAAAATTATGGAATACATATTTGAACAACAACAAAAGTCTATTTAATCCTCGGATCTGTATTGATATTTTCATACCTATATTTTAATGCAATATTAACCTGAAAAATAAATAATACGCATGAGTACACATACAATGCAAAAATGGAATTGGAAATCAAGTTACCTGCGATGTGGTATCCACTTGCTGCTTAGCAAACCATCTCTGCTTTAAAACATTAATCAATTAGTCATCTTTGATTTCTGCAAAAAGAAAGATGTAATAAATAACCATGGCATTAGAATTTAAAAATAAAATATTGTACTTACCAAATTTATCCATCTGCTTCGAAAGTTTATTTTGTTTACTAATTGTCAAAATAATTGGGTCACTATGTCAACGCAAAATTATTACATGTAGATTCCATCTACAAATCAAAATCTATTGTGAACGGCACAATTTGTGAATTTGGATAAAAATAGTTTTGTATTAATTCTCTGTTATGATAATAATAACAGATTGGCAGAACTAAAAGGTCATGCGTAATAACATAACAGAAAGTTATGCTGTTAAAAACGAAAGGTATATAATAATATTTAACATATGATCATGTAAAGTATATAAATAGGTAACGCACTAATTGTCAATGTAGCATTCGATTGTATACATACATACATATGTATTATAGCATTATGAATTAAGGTAAAAAGAGTATTGCAATAGAAAATTAACAAGAAAAGGTGCGATGATAGCAAGATTTGGAGGCAAGAAGGTAATACTATTTTAAACATTATAAGAAGCAAGGACGGCTTTTTCCAGAATTCATTCGAAAACGAGTAGTCAACCATCGAGTATCATCATAATATATTTTACTAAAGTTTAACTTAAATTCAATTTTATTTAAAGTATTAAATTCTAATTTCTTGAAACATTAGTATTTGTTAAATTGTATTCAATTATAAAATAATATAAATTCGAAATTTGTTAAAAAGTAATGATTTGTTTTATAAATATAAATTTTATTTAGATAAAAAAGTGTTGTTTCATACATTTACAATAATATGTACAGACAATAGACAATAATTCGTAATAGTGAATATTGACCTAATTGTAAATAAATTAACTAAAATGAACAAATGAAATAATGTGTTCCTTATTGAGTGATATTTAAATTTTGCACTAAGATAAAATGAAAACTAAGAGTTTTATGTATGACTTGTTCGACAAAAAAAATAAATACTGCAGATCCATTAATTTGTGAAAAATTGTGTTGTGAAAAGGAGAAATTGAAGAGTTCGATAGCTGCAACATATTCAGGGGTTTCTTCCTTTTCTTAGCGGGTTCCTTTAGTACGGAACATTTTGGTCCTTCGAGCCGGATAGCTGGTATTTATTGGCGAACAAAATAACAGAATTAATATTACAATAAATTCAAGGATAGCACTGGAAACAAAGGTAATGTAAAAGTATAATTTCATTACATTAAGGGACAGAGTATTTTTCATACTTGTTGCATATATCAATTTAATAATTATAAATTTTTAAAATAAGAGAAAGTATTAAAAGTGAATTGTACTTTAAATTTGAGTGTGAACGGTAAATTGTCGAGCATTGTACAGGTATTTTTTAAAATATGCACTTTCTATTTATATATTACTGTTTGTAAAACAAAAAAAGAATTACCTAAAAACAATGAACTTAAAATTATGAATTATTAAATTCAAGTCGATACGAAAAAAAGTGGTTGGAATTTCGCACACTAACGGTGTCGATTACGCGCACTAACGGTGCCGAATGTATTTCGAGGCAAAAAAAACGAGGCTGTGGTTTCAAAAAGAAAAAAATTTTTTGGATAAATTACGCGCGCTAACGGTGCCAAATTTATAAACAATATTTTTTTTGAATATCAGTAAAATATTTACTGGTAAACTATAATTTTTTGAATAAAATGAAATTGTTGAAAAACGAACTGTGTTAAAAAATTTAAAATTATATGCTAAAACTTTGATTTGTGTTCACAAAAAATTAAGTGGATTACGCGCACTAGCGGTGCCAAAATTTATAAACTTTTATTTCTTTGAGGTACATACGGAATTTTATTAAGAAGTTGTGATTTTCGGAATAAAATGGAAATTATTTGAAAATTGCGATCCTAAGAATGTGAATTCAAAAAAAAATAAGAAATAATATTGAAACAATTAAAAACTGTGAACTTGAAACTGTGAATAATTGAATTGTGATTTATAATAAAAAACGAGAAAAAAATAGAGTTGACCTTGTCAACTCTGTGATACCCGTACGAATTTGTTATCCTATGTGCGAATAAAGATGCCATAACTGACTATGGAGTTGCCGTATATTAATTTATGCAAAATTTCAGTACAATGTGTTTTGTACAGTGCGTGCCAAACTACTGTTGAAGTTGTATGGCAGCTATCAGAAAGAGCCAAGAAATTTTAACGAATTTTATCAAGCACATCGGCCCTACTAATATATTCGTTTGTGTGAAATTTTAATACCATAGCTTTTATAGTTTCTGAGATATAGCCAAATAACTTTTGAAGTTGTATGGCAGGTACCAGAAGGAGCCAAGTAATTTCAACGACTTTTATCAGACACATTGGCCCTACTAATATATTCATTTGTGTGAAATTTCAATACCATAGCTTTTATAGTTTCTGAGATATAGCCAAATAGCTTTCGAAGTTGTATGGCAGGTACCAAAAGGAGCCAAGTAATTTCAACGACTTTTATCAGACACATTGGCCCTATTAATATATTCGTTTGTATGAAATTTTAATACCATAGCTTTTATAGTTTCTGAGATATAGCCAAATAAATTTTGAAGTTGTATGGCAGCTACCCGAACCGGTACCCCGATCATGTCCAATTTAAATAGGGTTCTGGCACTTAGTACAATAAATCATTTGTGAAAATTTGGTGAACTTAGCTCAATTAGTTTTTGAGTTATCGTTGGGACGGAAGGACGGACGGACGGACAGACAAAGCTAAATCAACTCAGAATTTGACGCTGATCAAAAACATACACTTGAGTCTATATCTAAGACCGTTATTTCTTAGCGTTACAAACGGTAAGGCAAATTTAGTATACCCTTCGAACATACGTTCGTACGGGTATAAAAAAAGAGAAGGTTAAAAAAATTTCGCACACTAACGGTGTCGATTTTATATTGGTTGCAGTAACGCGCACTAATGGTGCCGATTGGTTTGCCTATCAGTAAATTTTTGCTATAATAAAATTTTTTTTGATTGGCTATCTTGAATAATAACTATTTTATTATTTTTAGATTTGTTCAATAAAACTAAAGAAGGTTTATACTGCTGTTAATAATATTCTTGCAGCAAATCGGGCTGGCGTATTACGATGAAATATTGAAAGATGTTGATGATTTGTGGCATGACCTGAAAGCGAGGCATCGTCATATTGTATCGTGCTACTATTCTACAGATGGATCCATGGGAGACTACGTAGACAAGAACGTCTTCAAACAAATACGGGAGTTATGTCAGACAAGCTACAGAGAAATAGAGCGTGAAATGTATTCAAAGTTTCCTATCAGCGATTTGAATCATGGCAACAATCAAACTTTGAACTCCTCTCAGGAAGTGAAATCCATGACTGTGAAACTACCAAAAATTACGTTGGAAAAATTCGATGGAGATTATAGGAAGTGGCCATCTTTTCATGACTTATTTCAATCATTGGCCCACTTTAATGATATGTTGGAGCCTGTTCAAGAACTACAGTATCTAAAGTTACATCTTGTGGGTGAACCAGAAAAATTACTACGACCTTTTCAAGTAACTGATAGCAACTATACTGCAGCTGGGACCCCATTTTGGTTTATCTGACATTGCAAAAACTTCCATCAGAGACTCACCAGCTATGGGAGTAAAATATAGGTTGCAGCAAAAATATTCCATCATGAGGAGAACTCGCGCAGTTTCTAGAGACAAGATTTCGAACACTGGAAGCTATTTCAACAAAAAAGGGTCAAAATTGCCAGGATCGAAAAAACAATTATAACAACAACCAAAAAATTAAACAAAATTCATATAACTTATTCGCTACTACATCTGCACTTTGTGTGAATTTTAATGAACCTCATCATATAAGAAATTGTAAAAAATTTTTAAATGAAGAAGTTGAAAAAAGAATAGAATTAGCAAAACTTAAGAATCTGTGTTTAAATTGTTTAGGTAGTGGTCATAGATTTTCGACTTGCCAAAGTAAAAGTAAATGTAGGTTATGTAATAAAAATCATCACACCTTACTTCATCGTACGTATGAAACTTCTTGAGATCTTCAGCCCTTTAGCATACATGCAAACAATGACAACATACCAGGCAAATCTTCAAATGGAGGATCCTTGCGAGCTGATCAGATTTCACCTATACAAAATGACATGCAGTTTCAGAAATACGCAATTAATAAAACGAATCTGTCGTCGCAAATATTGTTGGTTGCCGCACCTGCGCACAGATACATAGCGTTGGAAAAACATCAATTGCTCAAATTCTTCTTGGACACTTTGAATCATAGTGATCTAGAACGGATTGAAGTCACTGGTCTATTATTGCAAAAAAACTGGCTGATCCAGAATATTATATTCCGTCTAAGGTGGACTTGCTTCTGGGTGCTGACGTTTATGGTCGCATACTTTTAAATGGAGTGGAAAAAGGTCAAGTTGGTACACCCATTGCCCAGAGAACAATATTTGGATGGATTTTGTCTGGAATCGAGTCACACAACTAATTTTATCTCGAATTTCCATACATGCGATAATTTAAATGAAGAACTCAAGAAATTCTAGGAGATCGAGGTATCCACTAAAAAATTGCTCACTTTGGAGGAGGAACAATGTGCGTTACATTTTATGAGAACACACACACGCCTATCAAATGGTAAATACATGGTCGAATTACCGTTGAGACCTGAAAGTGATGAAACGTCTCTAAAAACTAACTACAAAAAGTGCGTGCAAGAATATCTATATATGGGGCACATGGAACAATTGAATTGGACGTTGATTTGGACGAGATGGGCTCGAGCTATCTTCCGCATCACGGAGTAGTCAAAGAAAGTAGTTCAACTACAAAATTGCGAACTGTCTTCGATGCTTCACGTCCTACAAGTACAGGTGTGTCACTAAGTGACAAAATGTTTAAGGGTCCAGTGTTGCAGGATGAGCTGGGCTCGTTGCTTATTAGATGGCGAATAAACAAAATAGCCTTCACCGCCAACTTAGAAAAAATGTACAGGTAAATATACGTTTCACCTAAACTTGTAAACTTCCAAAGGATTATTTGGCGTGATTCCCCAGATAATTCAATACAGGATTTTAAATTGACAACAGTCACTTTTGGAACAAA